TAACTCAACGTCTCACTTGATAGAAAAACAAATATTTTTTTAACTGAACACCTCACTTGGTAGATGCCCCCCAGTGGCACAGCGGTATGTCTGCAGACTTATAACGCTAGAAACCGGGTTTCGATACCCGTGGTGGGCAGAGCACAGATAGCCCATTGTGTAGCTTTGTGCTTAACTACAAACAAACAAACTCTTGGAAGAAAAACAAATAATGCGTATTAAGTCAACACCTCTCTTGGTAGAAAAACATATACTTTTTAGCCGCGGCATAGCGGCTCATAGAACGACTCTGAGGTTTTTTTTGTGTTTTTTTTTTTTTCAAGCACAAACTTTTAGCTCATAGCTCCGTCATCTCTTGACCTAAAATAATTTCATTTTGAGGGTAGGTTGGTTAAGAACCTGATAAGTAATAAAATTGAATCCGGTATACGCGCACCCCACGCTTGGAATTGCTGGCACATACAAATAAAGGCAATAAAAAAGGAAAGAAAAAGTCAGATAGATCAATTTATTCTAATCCTGCCAAAAAGAATTTCAAGTGCTGTGGCTATTGAGGATTCCCTCTTGTTTAATTTAACATTTGTTTTTCTACCAAGAGAGATCTTGACTTAATACGCATCATTTGTTTTTCTACCAAGAGAGATCTTGACTTAATACGTATTATTTGTTTTTCTACCAAGAGAGATGTTGACTTAATAAGTATTATTTGTTTTTCTACCAAGAGAGAAGCTGCGTATTAAGTCAACATCTCTCTTTGTAGAAAAACAAATGATATTTGTTAAGTCAACATCTCTCTCGATAGTGTGCTAGTCGTGGACTACTGTTTAGCGTGTCAGACTGTGAACCCGAAGGTCTATGGCTTTCGTCCCGTTGCTGCAGGACCGCGTTCTTCACTTTGTGTTCGTGAGTGCGTCACAAGGAGTGGCAAAATCTCATCCTACTATTTCATTAGAGTTCGCAGTGGATGCTGTTGACTGGCTTCTTTCCCTCTTGTCCATCATTTTGAAGTTAGGGACGGCTAGTACAAATAGCACTCGTGTAGCTTTGCGTGAATATTTGGAAAACAAACAGATTTTGAAGGTTATGAATACCTGAAAGACCAAATTTAAAAACTCTGTATAGAATATATATATATATATATATATATATATATATATATATATATATA